CGAAAAGCGCACAAACCGGTAGCGAACTAGTTTCCTGACACGACAGAATGTTTTTAGCATCGTCGTGAGTCATTGATTCTTCTTAGCGAGCCAGCGTTTGGGGAATTTAATTTCAAATCCTTCAGATAAACCGTGCCTGCCGCTGGTGTGCTGTTCCCAGTCAGCCCCCAAACAGCCTCCGCTTCAGCTCCCCACTCTGCCCGGTGTGTTGCATCCTGTGCATTAAGGGTTTTACTGACGGCAAACAGATGCCAGACAGGCATCGGTTAGGGTTTTGAGAGGCTTAGTTAAAGGGGTTTGGGGTTTTTTTTTAGCATTTTTAACAGGCATGAAAGGTATTTGGGTCTTGGACGTGGAGTGGAATAGGTTTGTTTATTTTAATGCGAGAGTTGAATACACAGTTCCTGATTAAAGCAGTAATAAGAGCTGTAAACCTTTGGCGCCCTTACTGTGCTAGGCTGAAACATCTGTCTGCCAGATAATAAGGATGTTTTTGGAGTGAGCGTCCTTGTAACACGCTTGTGAGGTTAAATTGTGGTTTTTCAAGATACTTGCAGATTTTTGACCATACCATGTCTCATTAGCCACGTTAGTACATGAGCTTGTACGATTAGTGTCGCTGGTGCATCATGTGAATTCCATACACACTAGCAGCATGTCTGTATTTTAAACTTCATTTTTTTCAAGTTAAAAACAGCTTTGGGAACTGAGTGGAAACACTGAAATCTCTGTTGCTCCTTTTCTTTCTACTAAGCTAAAGGAGCTGTCAGCATAGGGGACGCATGGTTCGTGTCTTAAAACATGTCAGTCCTATTAGTACTGAAGCATCCTGAACACGTCTTGGGTTTTGACAGCCTTAGCACACCGTGTTTCCTACAATAACTGTGATTTCTAAACAAGCAAAAAAAGGGTTGTGCAACTCTCACCCTCTGTCTCCCTCTAAAAGATTCAAATGAGGTTTCCCTTCCCGTGTCTACCTGTCAGGAACTGTTGCTACAGTGTACAAGTTTCATTTTTTAAGTTAACCACAGGACATAGGTTTATTATTCAGTCCTGCTCCGTGTGGTTTGTGCCTTTGCCATTAATTCCAATTCTCGTTTAGGGTTTTGCTGGCTTGGGGGTGGAATTTTTTTTAGCACGCCATGTGAGAGCTTTGTGTTTATCGTTACATAATCACATGAATAAACAAACTTCCTGCATGCTTCAGAAAGAATCTAAAGTTTGTAAAATTCTTAGAGGAAAGCATAAAGTTTTCTTTGTTTTGTTGTAAAGACACAACCACAGAGGCGAACTGCACTTTTTGAAAATAAATGCTGGCTTTGCTCCTTTCTGTCTGAAATAAGGGAAAGGATTAATTTTTCCCCACGCTCTGTCCTTGATCTGGCTCGTGCTGCAGCTGCACAAACACTTGTGCCGGTACAAGGGTGTGGAGGGGGACCACTCTGCCTCAGTCTCCTCTCATCTCGGCAGGCTGAACTGTGACGGACCCCTGCAGGACTGCGACACAGACAAACCCGGGTTGCCGGGATGCTCAGAAATGTTGTATTTTGCAAGATAAGTTTTTTGGTTCAGAGAATGAACCAGAACCGGCAGAAAACTTGCGAGGCCTAAGCATGAGATACAGGCTCCCAGATATGGCCTGGGAAAGGGACGTTTTGCTTAGTCAGAGCGACACAATAGAGTATAAAGGGTGAAATGGGGAAAATGCACCTTTTTTCCAGGAAGAAGTGTGAATTCAAGTTTGGTGATAATCTTAGGAACGTAATGAGATTCTCTAATACTGTTGGGCTGAGGTCAAACCTGATGCAAAAGGTCTAACTCTGCTGAAGCCGAACCTGCCTACCCCAGATCTGAGTTTTGCTGCTTAGGGCTTACAAACCTTACTTGACTGGAATTTATTTTAGATCAGCACATGCCACCTTGTGGCAAATTAGCATGATGCATCTGTTCTTTTTCCAACTCCAAACCACTTTTTTCTTTATTAAGATTCTGCCCTCTTTTTGTATTCCTTGAATTGCTGTGGAGGAGCAATGGGTTTCATCTCCCGAGTTCCCTGTGCTTCATCTCGATAGCTTCTGCAGAGCTGGGAAAATCCCACCTATTCAGTGTGGTGGTATTTTGCACCACGATGTTAAGCCAACGTAAAATGTGCTTTTCAGCAAGGTGTTCTGAGCGCTTTCCCATTCAAAGCTACCAGCTGGCAGAAGAATAACTGTAGGGGGGTGATCCATAAAGGAAGGTACTGTAAAGAATATGGAACTTGAACCTTTTACCTTCATTTCTGCAGCCAAATTGTTCGTGGTCCTTGCCTCTCGTGCAAGCACTGGATTTAAATTTTTCATTCCTCTTTGTTTCCTGTCATCCCGCTTGCTTGCTGGGGATAGCAGTGTTCTTTCCCAGTGTAAACACAGCCTTTACAAAGATGATTCAGGTTTTCACTAAGAGCCTTTCATTTGCGCTGTTTATGGAGGCACGTCATGCCTTGTACAATATCTGTCTTGTTTGCGATGACCATCAGCGTGATAGGAAGGGAACAAAAGACTGTGAGGGATAATCAGCAGATGTAATGAAACGATGCCAATAGCAAGAGAAAATAGCTGGAGAGGCTGCTGCTTAGAGAAGTCCTCGGTGGAATGTGGTGATGCCGTTGTGAGTTTGGAGAGTGGATCCTAAGCACAAGCAAGTTTGTGTGCAGATTCGCTGGAGCCAGGGGATCTTCTAGATGCTGAGTCTTTTGCTGGAACTCATTCACCTTTATAACTTTCCACGTTTTCCTGGAAAAGACAACCGGCGCCCACTACTGCAGGTTTTCCAAGACGTTTTGCCTAGGCAGTGTGTTGGTGACACCTCCAGCCCCTCCCTCCTGTCTTTGGTGAGGATGGAAACCCCTCACTGCAAACTGGGTTTAGTTTCCGAGCAGGACAAGTGCGGCAGATGCAGTTCTGCTTCCTGCCGTGACCATTTCATGTCCTTTCATTTGATTTCCTGTGGATTTGGTTCCTATTTCTTCTAAAAAGATCCGACTGTTTCTCTGCCATGTTACCAGTCTTCTCCCTACTCTGTAGAGGTTTCTTACTCTCAAGTTTTGGTTTGTTTTTTAAATCGGCTTTTTTATGGGACTTTGAATGTCCCTCTACTCATCTTTAGGGTTTTTATGTGCTTTACTTTTCTTAGCTTCAGGACCTTAAAACTTGGCTTTTATAGTTCCGATAGCCTGGTAAGTCAAGTGGGAAGTTGTTCAAAGTAAGTTTGTTGCCAGAGAAGGGTGTAGATGTTTCTGTAGTTTACCGTACCTGCACTTTTCATCAATGTTTTTAATAATAACTATACCTCAGCAGAGTGCTAATAATCACGCCCCCTTTTACAACAGCACAGGTAAACTAATGGGGAGAGGTCTGAGTGTCTTGGGCTTTGGCTATACTTTACAATAACGCTTAAGAAATGTGATAGTCAAAGTCTACAGCTTCAGCTATGGTGAAATCTTTCCCAGATCAGGGAATACAGGAACTTCGAGACCCTCTTCTCCCCTCTGCGTGGCGTGTGTGTTCTCCTTCCAGAAAGACATTAAAGAAATAACACTGCAGTAGGCAAAGGTGTAACCTACTACCTTTACTTCAGTAACCTGCTTTCATCATTCATCTGTGTGTAACCATTTTACTTTCTAAACAAATGCTTACATATTTTTCATTTTGTAAAGCCTGTAATTGTTTGTAAATTGTTTTTAAATTGTTTGTAAACCAACCTGATTTCCTTCTATGACCAGGTGACCCGCCTGGTAGATGAGGGAAAGGCTGTGGATGTTGTATACTTGGACTTCAGCAAAGCCTTCGACACAGTTTCCCACAGCATTATCCTGGAGAATCTGGCAGTTCATGGCCTAGATGGATGTACTCTTTGCTGAGTTAAAAACTGGCTGGATGGCCAAGCCCAGAGAGTCGTGGTGAATGGAGTTAAATCCAGTTGGCGGCCGGTCACAAGCGGTGTCCCCCAGGGCTTGGTTCTAGGGCTGGTCTTGTTTATTATCTTTATTAATGACCTGGATGAGGGGATTGAGTGTGCCCTCAG